CCACAGAACAAGAGAAGTCAAAGATGCAGCACTAGTCCAAAGTCCAAGGCCTGGAAGAGTCACATGTAGAGTCACCAGTGCAAGTTTGTGCTGGAAGGCTGAAGAAACTGGAGACCATGTTCAAAGGCAATGGTGAAGAGCCGAAGCTCTGCTAAAATGGGCAGATTTCTGCTTTCATTTTCTTTTTTATTCCATGCAGGCTAAAAGCCTAGTGGTTGGCACCACATATCCAGAGTGGGTCTTCCCCCCCCCTAGTTTGTTGGCCTACATGTCAGTCACCCACAGAAACACCCAGGACTGCGCTTTACCAATGTGTTAGGTGTTTCTTAATCCATTCAAGTTGATTAACAGTCAAAATATATTTATATTGTGCTAATATATTAGTATAGTATAGTTGTCACAAATCATTTTTTCCATTTTCAATTTTTATTAGTACATGTTAGCAGTACGTAATGGCCACATTCATTATGGGAAACTTGTACATGTACATACCACATTTCAATTAGTTGTCACAATTCATGAAGCCATATTGATACATTATTATTAATAATAATAACAAACTAAATATTGATAATTATTTAGATTTGCTTAGTTTTTACCTAATGTCAATTTTCTTTTCCTAGATCTTACCCAGGATATCACATTATACTTTTCAGATTTTTATTTTTTATTAGTACTTATTTGCAGTACATGATGATGACATTCCTCATGGGGAATTGATATGTGTACATAACATGTCTTAATTCTTAAAACATCCCCTTCCCCTCTCTTCTCTCCCCCTCCTTCCATTCCTTGGTCCCTTTTCCTTTGCAAAAGTTCATTATATTTAGCTGTTATGTGCCCTTAGGTTCCTCTTGATTGAAACAGCTTCTCAAACTTTGTTTTTGATGATCTTGACAGTTTTAGGAAGTACTGGTCAAATATTTTGTAGAATGTCCCTCAGTTGAATTTTTCTGATATTTTTCTCTGGCTAGACTGTGGTTATGGGTTTTCAGAAAGAAAAACACAGAGGCAAAGTGCCATTCTCATTATATCATATGAAGGGTAAATACTATTAACATAACATTGATCACCTGGATGAGGTACTGTTTGTCAGGCATCTGCATTGTAAATCTACTTTTATCATTTTTCTGTACTATTCTCTGTGAAAGGAAGTCACTACGCACAATTCACATTTAAGGAGTAGGAAGTTATGTTAGGACAAAGTCTCTACACTAATTCCAGTAGCCTCTCCTCTCCTCTGCAGCTTTACTTTATGTAGTTCTAGTTACCCATAGTTAACATCAGTCTAAAAATATTAAGTGAAACTTTCTAGAAACAATTGATAAAGACTTGAACTGCATGTCATTCTGAGTAATGTGATGAAATCTCATGTCATCCCACTTAATCCAACCCAGAGCATAGTTCAGCATATCCGCACTATATAATATGCTGCCTTCCCATTAGTTACTTAGTGGTCCTTTCACTTATAGATTGATTATGACTGTGTCATGGTGCTTGTGACAGTAACACAGTACTTGTGTTCATAACCCTTATGTAGCAGCCTAATACCATGTCACAGTGTCAACATCATTTGCTTCATCTCATCTCATCCTGTAGGCTTTGTATTAGGTCCCATCATCACAAAAAAAGAAGAGTGAATAAAGTATAATAAGACATTTTGAGAGACAGTCCACATTCACAAAACTTTTTTTACAGGGTATTAGTGTACAATGTATTTATTTCATTTTATTATTAGTTATTAATTTCTTACAGTGCCCAATTTATAAATTAAATTTTACTATAGGGGAGTGGCTATAGAAAAAAACATAGAATATACAGGACTTGGTACTATCTGCAATTTTAAGCACGCCCTGGAAGTCTTGGAATGTATTTTGGGCTGGTTAATCTTATCAACAAGGCTAGATTAAGAGACTCCCGGATCTGGATTGTGCAGGCACTACCTCATCAATAGTTTAACTTCAAAGAGAAAATAGTTTAGCTTCATCAATGGGTCAGCCCGTTTGTGAGTTCATAGCTGAGGACATCAGTCATAGTGTTTGATCTTGGAGTCTATGAAGTTCCTCTCTGGCTCTTTCCAACCCACCCTGTCTATGGCCACCATGAAATGAATACCTTTTCTCTGCCATGAGCCTCCTCTATGATGTTTCTGCCTTGAAGCCAACTGACCATGAAATGAAATCTCTGAAACCATGAGCCAAAATAAGCCTCCACTTTTACAGTTGTGTGTGCCATATATTTTGTCCTAACACAGAGAAAGTTGACTCATGGATGAGGAAAAGGGGCTGTGTTTGGGGTTCTCCACGCAATCCTGTATCACCAGCTCTTACCTTCCTTTGTGGTTTCATCCTCACTTTCCTCCCTCTTCCTCATGAGTACAAAGGCTCATTGTACTACAGATCAGCACCCGCAGATCCTATAGAGTGCCATTCTTTGTCTTCTCTGTTCCCACTACTGCTGCTTTCTATGCATGCATGCCCCTTATCTCATTCCCTTGCAGCTTAATTTGCCTTTAACCTACAACGTTGTGGAAGTATCCATTATTTTAGGTGGTCCTCCTACAACCCGTCTGCATTAGGGGACTTTCTCCTGGGTCCCCATATAAATGGTGTATGTCCCCACCATGACATTCATGTTCTGTTTCCCCTGTAGGTTCTAGATAAGTGTCCTACATATAACAGGTATGTAATAGATCTTTATGGAATGAGTGACAGTTAAAGAACAAATAAAGTTGAAATGAACAATAAAGTTGGAAACATAATTGATGAGAGTGAATCACAAAAGAAAAGAAATATAATGGCCTGGAAAATAAATGGGAGAAGTTGATTTGTAATATCTCCTAGTACATTAATTCTAAAATTCTATCATATGCAAATAACTATTGTCACATTTTTATTTGAGTTATTTGAGTAAGGAAATTTAAAACCATAGCTCTATTCTGAGTGAAAAAGCTACCTTGATGTCTTCTTAACAACAGAAAGGAGAAACAAACCTGATTCAGTTCTTAGATGAATGTTCCCACTAAGAGGTACACTCTATTATGTTCAAAAATAGCTGACTGTTGTGTAACACAAAGTATGTCCCTTCCTCTTTTTTAAAAACCAAAAGATCTGAAGTCTGTGATTTTTAAAATAGCATTTTTCTTTACCTAATAAAACAAAATGTTTCTAAGTGTCCTCTGCTGGGGAGAAATAGACAGAGAACATTCTGAAAGGGAAAATAAGTCCTTACAGCAAGATAGATTACCATTATTATCAACATCAAATTCAACTGCTACTGAAGAGCTTCACTCAGGGAAAGTTGAGTTAGGGAGGAATTTAGTTTCTCTTTTTCTCTTAACAAAAATTAAACTGTGTGGCTAGTTCTCAATTAGCACTGTACAGTACTGTATTTGATTACAATAACCTGTAGAGGGCGCCCTTGCACCAAGAGCCACAGAGGTTCAATTAAAATCATACCTCCAAGTCAAAGAAAATGTCTGTGTTGTGAAATTACCTTTAACTGAGTGATACTGGCATTACATTGTTAAAGTGTTTTAAAAGTAATACATTAATACATTAAATAAATGAATATTCACTGAAACAAAAAGTAATAGCATGTTAGAAAAGTTAAATATTTTAGTATATGTGCTGCCAAAGCAAGCACAAAGAGGTAAATATTTTAAAGGAACAATCGTTGTGAAGCTTTGGATGCAAGCAATTATGATTTACATATCAGACTGAAGCAGTGGATAGGAGAATGAGCTTCAAAACCAGAACAACCAACAGGTACAGTGGTGTACACCTGTAATCTGGCACTCTAGGGGGCTGTAGCAGCAGGATTAAAAATTTGAGACTAGCTTGGAGAATTTAGTTACTTAGTGAGACACTGTCTCAAAATAATAAAAAGGGGTTGGGAATGTAGCACACTGTGAAGGCCCTGGGTTCAATTCCCTGGTACAGTATGGAGAAGGGTCAGGACACCACAGAATGCTGGGACTTGAACCCTTACCAATTGGATATCTGTAGTCAATATACCGGACTTTGAGCGTCATTTTTCCAGCAGTAAAACTGGAAAAATAATCGCTTCTACTTCACAGAGCTGTGAGGATTAAATAAGCACTAAAAAGTACTTTGGAAACGAAGGCACTGTAAGTTCAAATGCCCTAATCAGAGTTCTCCTCTAGTTCTCGTCCCCTTATCTATCAGTTGGATAGCTAGGCATATTTCATCATTGGAAGTGTCCATTCTGTTTTTTTAGGACTTAACTTTTATTTAACTTAACTTTTATTTAATGCATGCACACGTCCAGCTTCTCTTCAGTGGTTTGTTTGCTTTTTCCCTTTTGGAGCATCCACTACTCTACAAAGGGCTGAGCGAAACACCATGCCCAGTCCCAGACACCTACTCCTTGAGGCATTTGTCGCAGCAGCAACTGGGCACTAAAGAACAAAGAGAAGTAAACAAAGCTTTGGTGAGTCTGAAAACAGAATTTTTAAGTTTTGGAAAAACCTTTTGCTTTCATTTTCTTTGCACATCCAAGCAATTAGGCAAGAGATATAAATCCTTTGCCCTGGTGTTCAGGTGGATGTGGGGGTGCTGTAGACACCCCACTGCCTGCTTAGCACATTTCCCACAGGCCGGGCCAGAGCCTTGGTCTTGTTCTCAAGCGCTTGTGATTTCAGCAACTGTGCACGCGCCTCCAATTTTTTATAAACCATCATCAAATGTGAAGATATTCAAGACTTCAGGGGACCCCTACCTTCAGGGGGTCAGGTACTACTACGTACCAGTATTATCAAAACCTGGAGAGCTCTTCTAGGCGTTGCTGGTCAGAGAAACGCCGGCCACCTGTTGGGTGTCCAGCAAGTGCAGAAGAAATGCGCTGCGCCAAACCGAGCGCCCGCAGCCGGCCCCCCAGGCAGTTGCTCCTCGCTTAGCACGGGAGTAGAAAAGCGAATCATCCTCACTGTCCTTAGCGCCCAATCCACAGTAGCACTCCCCCAACTCTGCCAACGCCCATGCCACTCCTGGCCGAAGAGGAGGCGAGTGATGTCCTTGGGGTGCTTTTGCGTGCGCTTCTCCTAAGGCGTCCCGACCAAAGGTGCCTGGCGGGCGCAGCACTGGCTCTCCCGGACAGGGCGCCCTCTCCCGGGTCTAGGGCTCCGCCCCTGCGCGCCCTACAGCGCCCCCCACCCCACCCCACTGGCGGCCTAGCGGGCCCCGCTTCTGGCTAGCCCCTCACTCGCGCCAACCCTTCCGGCCCTTCCTCTCTCCCTGTATTTGACCCCCTGACGGTTGGCACTGCTGGGTGTTTTGTCAACTCCAGTTTGGTCAGCCTTGCGTCTCGCCTGCGCAACCCCTCCTTCCTCCTTCCCTCCTCTCCAGCTTTCCCAGGCGCACTCGCACCGCAGCCAGGAGGTTGCACGCTCAGCTGTCCAAGTGGAAGCAGCTCTGGCTAAGAGGGCTGAAGCCCAGCCGAGAGCTTAACGGCCGCAGGTGGTCGAGGTGCGGCGGAAGGAGTGGCACCAGCAGCGAGGAGGTCGCCAGCAGCATGGCCAAGAGAAGCTCCTTCCCGTCCGCCGCGCTGCGGCTCCTCAGCATCCTCCCCTGCCTGCTCGCGCTGCGGGCGGAGGCCGGGCAGCCGCCAGAGGAAAGCCTGTACTTGTGGATCGATGCTCACCAGGCGAGAGTGCTCATAGGTAAGGCCCAGGCGTCCGACACCTTCCCCTGCATATACGTCTTTACTCCAGTAGATTAGGGGTATAAGCATTTAGTATATTTTAAAACTTCACTTCCAAAGGCACCGCCCACCCCCCCGAATTGGATGTTTTCCATCTGAAACCTTATAAACTTCTCTCGAGAAGCCAAAGCCCATCACACTTGGTTGTTGTTACCGCCCTACGTTTTAGGTGCGTCCAGCTTTTTTTTTCTTTTCTTGGCACCAGTTAATCCATGCCCGTTCTTTTCCCTGAAAGCATGTGCCTGTTAGCATCCTTCTTCATCTTTCAGGTGGAAAAATAATCTCAGTAGTGTAGTTGGTACCAAAGACAGGTGCTTTGTGAAAAGAAGTGATCCGTACTAATTCTTTGGGGGTTTTTTTTGCATGATACTTCTGATTTGGATTCTTTGCAGTCCACCTAGTTTTATAATTCTGTTTATTAACAGGATTTGAAGAAGATATCCTAATTGTTTCTGAGGGGAAAATGGCCCCTTTCACACATGATTTCAGAAAAGCACAGCAGAGAATGCCAGCTATTCCTGTCAACATCCATTCCATGAATTTTACCTGGCAAGCTGCAGGGCAGGTAAGTTCTGGTAACCAGAAAGGGTGGAGGAAATTACCCTTTGATATTGTACTGCCTGATGGCAAATAGAAATAAATAGTAGTGTATGTATGTAGTATGTTTTACAGTTTTAAAGAGTACTTTCTCATAGGGTCACGGGCTACTGGAAATATAAAGACCTCAAATATTAACATCACCCTGCTTCTGTGATCATCAACACATTAAAATGTAAAATAATACTTAAAAGAATATTTCCATAGTATGTATTAATCACTTGTGACATTGTTTATACTTTAAAACAAAATTTTATGTCTATTTAAGGAGTTTGACATTATATATTTTAAAAAGCTGATATGGTGAATGCTTGTCACTGCAGTATGAATGTTTTATATTTCTGGTAGAAGTTCATAGACTCAAGAGGTGTCATACAAGAACATTGTAATATTACAACCTATTGATTTTCAAAGTTACGATTTAAAATACTTTTCTGAGGGAAAAAGAAAATTGGAATCTATTTTTATGAGGCATTCCTTTTATTCCTTAGCACATTAGCATCTTTGTATGTTACCTTTTATACATTACCAGTATAATATAAATGGAAAGAGAATAAAATGCTTATGTGAATTTGATTTCTATGGTACAATTGGAGAATATAATGGATCTACTACGAAAATCATTGTAATTATAATTAAGAATCACATTCTCTGCTCTTTTTTGTTCTAAAATTATCTAAATGGCTATTTTCAAGAAGAATGTGATTGAGAAAACACTTTATAAAAGTAACTTTAAAATTGAGAAACTACTATGTTTTCCTCTAATTGCCTGTTTGTTTTTTTGTTTTCGCTTTTGTTTTTTGGTACCGGGGATCAAACTCGGGTCCTTGCGCTTACACGGCAGGCATTGAAACCACTGATCTAAATCCCCCGCCCTAATTGCCTGTTATAGTATGGGTGTAATCATTTTAGCTCTTTTTTCCCCTCAATTTTGTTCTTTATTTCTTTTTTTAAAATTCTACTTCTAAAATAGATCAAGTCCAGACCCTTCAGCACTTCCATTGTTATGTGGTTAAAGAAAAACAAAACAAAACAAAATGACATTTTGGATCCACTTAAATTCATGACAGGAAGGCTCTGTATTCTAATATCCCATTTTGCAGATAAGTTCACTGAGGTTCCTGTTATTCTATAGGGAGATTGTTTCTTTCTCCCTGCAATTCTCTCTTCATAGATACTCTTTGACAGTTAAATTTAGAATGCTATGAAATCAGTCATAGGTCAGTGGAATGGCCTTTCATCATCATCATCATCATCATCATCATCATCATCATCATCATCATTTCTTTTCATTCATATCTACTCACTTGTGGTTGACCATTTATCAGATGGGCTCAATATTAATTCTATATTTTTAAAGGAATTTTTAAATTCATACTTTTATGAACTCATCAGAACTGTCAGATTGTAGATTAAACTGCACCCTACTAACTAAAAGCATTTGGTAACTATAAGAGAGGCAGAAAATGCCAGTGACTCTTTTCTTTTTTCTGCATATAATTTTGTATTCTGAAGAATGAAATTTGAAACAAAGGGTGCCATTCAATCTCTTATTGCTTTGTAACAGTACATGTTTGCAAACATTCCAAATATGCTTGTTGAATACAAAGTGAATTGGCATCTCATGCAATCTCAGGAACATGTCTTATCAAGGTTAGGGAACATAGAACTGGCATAAGGATGAAACATCTAGCACTTGTTTTTCCCTCACACTCAGTATTTTCTGGGTACTTTATCGCAGGTAACTAAAGGAAATTTAATGTCTGGCTGGCAAGGGGAAATCTACACAATGCCAAACAGCATGTTTTAAAATATTATTTAAATAAGATTAATTTTTACTCTCTAAAGTTACATGGATTTCCATGCCGTAAGTTAGAAATACAAGGAAATTTTGAACATAATACCAGTACTTCAATACCAGTTAAGTATTCTGAAACATATCTATGGCTAGAGTCAAGTCACATCAAAACATTTATGAGGAAAGTGAAAAATTCATAGTATTATCCAGGTATTTCATCTAAACCATATCAAACACTTAGGCATTTCTATAATACATAAACAAAACACATACTCGATTAATGAAATTTTAAATTTGATATTTAAATGTTTTAGCAACATGTAGATGAAGTTATTTTGCTTTAGGATTGAGGACTAGTAGAGACAATAACGTGTTATTTACTTTCAGTAAATTATTAGTCCAGTAACCAAAGTGTTCATGTTCTCCTTCAGAAAAATGCAAATAAAATTAACAGTGAGGTTTATTTGTTCACATTGAGCTGGACAAACCTTTAAAAGTGCTCTGGTATGTGGGAAATGGTACACAGCCATATATGGCTGATGTTTGTTTAGTCATTTTGCAGGGCAGTTTCACCTGGACGGCAAAAGGCTTGATATGATTCTTTGGGAAGTTTTACTTCTACACTCTTATCCTCAGGAAATAATCATTAATGTGAATAAAAGATTAGATCCAAGAATGTTCTGCATCATGCTGTTTATACCAGTAAAAACATAGTCACAACGTAAATATCCAGCAACAGCAGCAGAATATAATGAATCAATAGTAAGGATATTTCAGATGTCTATCTGAGGCCATGGAAACAATGTTCATGACAAATTAAATAGCCTGTAATGTGCTATATTTCTGTTTGATTCAATGAGGGAATAGGTTGGCAGACACAGGAAAAAATCATCCAATCAACATCTGATCTTCCTAGGGGTAAACATCAGCTACATTTACATCTATTATGTTTTACTTTTTCCACAATGAATGTATATTGATATGCAATTTAAAAAATCATTTTCAACTAAATATGTACAAAAGTTGTAAAAGTTTAAAAATGTATGATGTCCTGTATTATAAATACTTATCCTTATTTATTATCTGGCATCATTTCTGTATTATACATCACTCAACAAAATGCTAAAACAAGTGGCTATCATGGGTGATCATATCTACGGAGTCCAAAGGATTCATTAATGTTTATCTGATTCTCACTTTTGTGGTATACAAATTATCTGCTTATGAGGGCTTTCCTGCACCCAATCCCCACCCCACCCCTCTCTGAAATTCTTATTTTTCATGGACAACTTTGCTGTATTTTATTTCCCATATACAATATGTCATTGAAAGCTATCATGAATGCTTAAGTTAAAAAAGTATTACAGTTAATGACATTTTGCCATTAATTCCCCCTCAAAATACTCCCCTTTGTTTCAAACACTTATTTATTCTTGCCACTTTCTGAAGCAGTTCTGCAAGTCTTCTTTCATGAGTGTCTTCAGTTGTGCTGTCATGATTGCCTTGGTGTCCTGAAATGATTCAAAACATTTATCTGTTATGGTCATTTTGACTTTGGAGAAGAGCCAGACATTGCACAATGCCAGATCCAGTGGGTAAGGTGAATGAGGACACATGGTAATTTTTACAATTCTCGTTTTTTGTTGGATGGCACTCAGCAGAAGCATTCACCATATTTTGACCACATGTAGTAAAGACCCAAAAGAAGACTTTCAGAACTACTTCAGAAAGTGGCAAGAATGATGGGATAAGTGTGTTTGAAGTGAGGGAGGTATTTTAAGGGGGATTATTAACAATGTAAATTTTTTAAAAATTTAAACATTCACTGTATATTTTTATCACCCCTTCATCAAATACTCATTTTCTGGCGTGCCCCTTAGATGCAAGGATTTTAGATAAGAGTTTCCATTGAAGAGGCTTAGGCTTAAAAGATGTTTACTATTAAGAGGAAATACCTTTTATTATATATAACTTTTTAATAGTTGATTTTTTTGTTTAAATTATTTTATTGGTACATTTTAGGTATACAATACATTTACATTTATCATTGGGTATTTCTACCTGTACATGATGTATCTTGGTTCTTATTTTTTCTCCATTCCCTGTCCTCCCTTCACCCCCTCCAGCCTTCCCTATTTACAAAGACTTGGCTTCCATGTTTTCCTTTTCTCATAATTTTTCCTTTCCCTTCTTTCCTTTCTCCTTCCCCTCCCACTTCCCCTACCCCTTTGGACCTTTTCTTCCTATTTCAAATTATCAATTATT